ACGCGGCAAACCCCTTTCGCCTTCTCGCTCCCCAAAAAAACTGACCGTTTGTTGCAGAACTTCCAAGTGGACTCGCATGGCGGAATTGGTCAACGTTCACATCGAAATTCAGGCTCAAATTTAGGCGCCGTTTACAGCTCCAATTACACCCCATCACCACTCTCCATTACACCTATCACTCAATTCATTATATTGTCTTTCCCTCTCCCTATCGCCCCTTTTTTTTTCTCTTTTCAATTCAGTTCTTCGAGGCTTTCCCAGCATGAACGCCCTAGCTGCTACCAATCGCAATTTTCGCCATGCCGCGCGAATTCTAGGTCTGGATTCCAAGATCGAGAAGAGTCTTTTGATCCCTTTCAGAGAAATCAAGGTTGTTCTTCTTCTTTTTTATTTTGGTTTCGTTTGTTGATTTTGATTTTAGAGGCTCTGATTGTTTGCTTGTGATGATCGAACAGGTTGAGTGTACGATCCCCAAGGACGATGGGAGTTTAGTGTCTTATGTGGGGTTTAGGGTTCAACATGACAATGCCCGTGGCCCCATGAAAGGAGGGATCAGATATCATCCTGAGGTGACTGGATTTTCTCCTCTTTTGAATTGATGTGATCGCTTGTTCTTTTCTATTCTGTCATAGTTTAGGCGTAATTGGTTTCTGGATGAGAGTATTTAACAGTTTACATCACTCCCCATCAAAAGATTTGTAGTTTCTATCAGATAAACGAACGGCTGCTGTTGATTGATCATAGTTTGCATGCATTTAGTTACGTTATGTTTGGGAGTTTGAGAGTACTTCGGCATGATTGAAAGCATTTTGTCATGATCAAAGGTATTTCCTCCTAAAAAAGTTTCAGGTTTTGAAAGTAATATGAAAGTTCTTTTAGAAATTGATGAACCAAGCATCTACATGATTTGTTTTTAAATAAATTTTACTAAAATGGTAATGATTAAAATACACTTGTTCAAGAAAGATCTTCACGTAAAAGTTTCACTTTCAAAAGTCATCTTAATGTGAGACATGCAAGGATTTTGCTTCCATGCGAGCTCTACTCTCAAACATCCGTTGGATGCATCCAAGGACATCACAAAGTACTGGTACTATAAAAATTTGACGTCAAAATCTGTAACTAAAAGGTCAACCGTTCTTCTTTTCGAGTATGAAGTCGGTTGTTTTCATTTGAGTTTTCTCCTTTACTGAATTGCTTAATGCTGTTACTAAAGGTCGACCCTGATGAAGTAAATGCTCTGGCTCAACTAATGACATGGAAGACTGCTGTAGCAGATATTCCTTATGGAGGTGCTAAGGGTGGGATTGGATGCACTCCACGAGAATTAAGCAGGAGTGAGTTGGAAAGGCTGACTCGTGTATTTACTCAGAAGATCCATGACCTCATTGGTATACATACTGACATTCCAGCACCAGATATGGGCACAAATGCGCAGGTTGAGTTCAGATAGTTTAAAGGTTTAATAGCATCCTTAATTTATAGGTTTCGAATATTTTCAGCAGCACGATTATGCTTAGTTCAGATATTTTAAAGATTTGTGCAGACTATGGCCTGGATTTTGGATGAGTACTCTAAGTTTCATGGTCACTCACCAGCAGTCGTGACGGGGAAGCCTATAGTAAGTAATCGAGATTGAAAATCCATGAAACTTCTCTGTGTTTGATGAATATCATTGAGTTATTAAGACCCCCTTCTCTTTTCTTTTCAATTTTAGGACCTTGGTGGTTCCTTAGGTAGAGATGCTGCAACTGGGCGTGGTGTTGTTTTTGCAACAGAGGCTTTGCTTGCAGAGCATGGAAAGAAAGTCAAAGGTCTAACATTTGTTATACAGGTACAGTAAAGTTCAAACTTGCAAACTTCTAATGGTCACAATGTTGTGTTCTCGTTGTAAAGATTCAGCATCTCAATTGAAGAAACCTTTATGAACTGCAAATTCGACAGGGATTTGGTAACGTGGGATCTTGGGCAGCAAGGCTCATCCATGAAAGAGGAGGAAAGGTTGTTGCAGTGAGTGATATCACTGGCGCTGTGACAAATCCGAATGGGATTAATATACCCGATCTTATTGAGCACAAAGGAAAGACCAATAGTCTAGTAAATTTCCAAGGTGCAGACGGCATGAATCCAAACGAACTTCTAGTTCATGAATGTGATGTTCTTATCCCATGTGCTTTAGGTGGAGTTTTGAACAGGTCTACCCTCTTTTTCATCTAGAACTCTTTCTTTGCTGTCAAATATTTTTATTACCCTTGAATACTAAGAAGATTTATATATATACACACACAAATATATACACGCGCGCGCACACACATATATATATACACGCGCACACACACATATATATATACACGCGCGCACACACATATATATATACACGCGCGCACACACATATATATATACACGCGCGCGCACACACACATATATATATACACGCGCGCGCACACACACATATATATATACACGCGCGCGCACACACACATACACGCGCACACACACACATACACGCACACACCCACACATACACGCACACACACACACATATATACATGTTGCATTGTTAGTAAACTGTGCAACACATTGTGGCAAGCTGATTCCATTTTTTTTAATCTTCCCAACTGAAGGGAAAATGCTGCTGGCGTGAGAGCGAAGTTTATTGTAGAGGCAGCTAACCACCCAACTGATCCAGAAGCAGATGAGGTAAGTAAGGTCTATAATTAATCTTGGATTCATACACAAGCTTAGATTTGTGACAGCTCTGGTTCATTGTGCAGATCCTATCTAAGAAAGGAGTCATAATACTCCCTGACATCTACGCGAATGCTGGTGGAGTCACCGTTAGCTACTTTGAGTGGGTTCAGGTAGCAAACAAACTAAACATGAACATTTTCACCACTTCAAAATTATTGATAAGGACTAAAATAGTGTATTTAAAACAATAAGAACCATATTAGAATGAGCTCAAAGGGTAGAACAAACCTAAAACGTATGATATGTTGGTGAACAAGAAAACGACGATTTGTCGATCTAAAACTTTTGGCAATTGTATCATTTTTACAATGAATCATTGCAGAATCTTGGAATAGTGTTAGAATAAACCTAAAACATATGATATGTTGGTGAACAAGAAAACAATGACTTTGTCGATTTAAAACTTTATGAATTTCCTTATGTATCAGTTTTACAATGAATCATTGCCAAATCTCGGAATAGCGTAGAATCAAAATACTACTACTAAGAAGACTCAGATGATTTGCTATATATGATCCAATTACTTTGGTTGAATTCTTTGATAAATGATAGCTTTGTCTTAAGGGGAAGCAAAAAACAACAAACTCAGGTTAGTGGTGAATAGTTCTAGCTAAAAGGTGTAGTTCATGGACTTTGCAGAACATTCAGGGCTTCATGTGGGATGAAGAGAAGGTGAACAAGGAGCTTCAAAGGTACATGACAAGAGCTTTTTATAATATCAAAAGCATGTGCAAATCACATGATTGTAATCTTCGTATGGGTGCATTCACTTTGGGTGTCAATCGTGTGGCACGAGCCACGCTCTTGAGGGGATGGGAGGCCTAGACATACATGAACTCTTCTTCTTTTAAGTGCTTAGATTATCAGCACTTACTGCATGCTGAAAGTAGTGTTGAATAAATTTATTGACATTACTTCCAAAAATTTAGTAAACTTTATCAACAGTTTAGCTTGAGGAAGTTTTTCTGAAATATATTGTTAGTTGATGTCTCCACTATGCTCTTGTTTGGTTCTTCATTTCATTGTTGTTCATTCTTGAGTTTCTCCCTTTGTTTTGTTTTGAAAGATTTAGACATGCATGTACATGTACCAAAGTTGGTTGAAACTTAGTTCTATCATGCTAAGAGCCGAAAGCTCGCCCTTTCTACGATGTTTGGACCAAAGTTGGTCCAAACTTTGACCGGTAACCGAAAAGTTAGAAATCCAAAGTTTAGATCAACTTTAAACTAACTTAAAAAATTCTTCCACGATCTTTGGACCAAAGTTGGTCCAAACTTCGACTAGTAGTTGGAAGGTTAGAAATCCAAAGTTTAGACCAACTTAAAAAATCCTTGTTTGGTCCAAACTTCGACCAGTAGTCGGAAGGTTAGAAATCCAAAGTTTAGACCAACTTAAAAAATCCTTGTCTGAACGTAATTCGACTTAATTTTTCAATTCAACATTATTATTAATAATTTCGTCTTTCTCTCATTCCTTTTCCCTCTGAGACATTTAGTCACTTCTATCTTCTTTCTCTAACAACAATATTTTTCACCTCTATAACTTTCTCGAACTTCATTATTTTTTTTCATACTTTTTTCTTTTATTTAGCAAAATTTTGGATTCTAGATAAAAAAAGAGAGATATTAGAGACCAAGAGGCAAAATAAGGAGGGAGAAAAAAAATATTAAAACAAAAATGTTTGTTGACTTTCATAAACAAAGTCAAGAAAACTTAACTCTTCTTTTTCCTTTAAAGAATAAAATTAATAATAAGATTTTTTAACTTATCAAATTAAGTTTAAATATTTTTATGAAAAATTTTATTTCTCTATTTTTTTTTAAAGAAATATTGTTAATGTCAAATTTTTTTATTTAATAAATATAGAAATAATACTTTCAACCTTAAAAAATAGTAGTGATTATTGATAGAAGTATATCGAGATTATCATATCAATATTTTTATCCAAATTTCTATAAGATTATTAGTTACATAGAAGATGAATTAATATGTCAATTCTATGCGTAAAAGAATTAAAGTAACATTAATAATATTAAATTTTAATTTATTTATTTAAAAAAAATTAATTAGCTTTTATGATATATATATATATATATTTTATAAAAAAAATTAAAACTTGTCCAAAATAAAATTAAAGAAAAATGAATGTGTTAGAAAATAATCCGTTCGTTAAGCGGTCGTTTTCTTACGGAACGGCGTCACGGAACTCGTAAAACGTGCCAGATAAAATGTAACCCCGTCTGAACCAACTGCCATACGAAGCCTTCTTCTTCGTCTTCTTCAACTTTTTCCTGAGTTCTTCTTCTTCTTCCAAAAGCTCCAATGCTAAAGCTTTCGCCATTTCCTGTGTGCTCTCTCGCATCTCTCTTCCAACTCAAATCTCTCTTCCTCTGATGCAAAATGTCATCGTCTTCGTCTTCTTCTTCTTCTTCTTCTTCTTCTTTCCTTTCTTTGTCCTCTTCTCCATCGCCGTCTCTGCAGAGGAGCTCCGACAGCAGCACGCAGGATTCGGAGGCGGAGCGGCGTCTTCGTGAGGCGGAGGACCGGCTCCGGGAAGCTATTGAGGAGCTTCAGCGGCGACAGCGGAAAGTAGCGGCGTGTGGATCTCATCATCACCAGAGCCGGGAGCAGCCCCCGCCGTGTGATCATGCCGCTTATGAGTCCTCCTGTGTGGCTAATGCCATTGGTAACCTTTGCCAGACCTTCCTCCTTTCCTATGGTGTTAGAGTTGGCATTGGTATACTTCTCCGCGCTTTCAAGCTCGCACGGAGACAGTCCTATTCCTCTATCCTTGATCTTAAGGTTTGTTTTGTTTGGGTTTATTCTCGTTTTTAAATTGTTGATTTTGGTATTCCTTATTGTTGTGTGATCGTCGATTGAAACTTTGAATTAGGGTTGGAAAATACTGTTTGATTCACTTCACAATTTAGTTTTTGTTACTATCACTGCGGTTGTTTCTTATTGCTGCTATGTGTCTGTTTGTATAGCTTCATGCAATTGTTGGTGAAATGTATTATTTCGCCATACATATTGGAAATGAGTTTGTATTGGAGGGGAATTATAATGAGATGGGGTTGGATCTTGCTGGAATTAAAAATAATATTTCCAAGTGTGCTCCTTAGATTTTTCGATTTTAGGATTTAACTTTTAATTTCAATTCTTATAAGAAATTTATGGCTATTTTGAATGTTAAATGAACATGTAATTTATGTCTGATGGCGTAATTATATTTCAATTGCTTCAATTATCTAAAATGAAAAAGCATCTCATTATAATGGTTCTCTCTTCAATGAGTTCTCCGGCTAGGTTGATTAGTGATGAGTTATCCCTTTCTCCCTTTTGTTGCGGCTCAATAGAACGCAAACAATGCCGTGGGTTTTGGATATGAAAGGGACAATAAGTTTTCACTGTCTGTGCAATTTGTCTCATTGTTCGTGACAGCTTTATGAGTTGGTTCAAGCTATCAAGAAGTACAAAATTCTTTGAAGAAACTAGGTGGGACAATTATGCTTGTTGGATAGATAAGTATTACAAGAGAGGAGTGGCAGTGGACGTTTCCGAAGTTGAACGAAAGGTAGCATATTGATACTGAGGGCCGAAACTTGGAAGATTAATTTTTTTTAATAGGAGGATTGAGCTGAAATCATACGGGTTATTTTCATCTCATATGGCTTCCCTTTTATGTGGCACATAATGAGATTGGAGAAGCTTTGGGCTTGGTTGATGATTTCTTGGTATGACCTTTAATTCCTTGAAGCTTTCTACTTCATAAAACTTCACAGAATTGGTTCTATGTGATGGCTAAAACTTTATGGTTGTTAAGGGTGATTTTTTATCTCATACAGCTCCCCGTTTATGTGATGCACTTAATGAGATTGGAGAAGCTTCTTGGGTTTGATTGATGTTGCCTGGTATGAACTTTAATTTCTTAAAGCCTTCTACTTTGGAAACCTTTATAGAACTGTTTCCATGTGATGGCTAAAAAGTTATGGTTGATAAGGAAGTTATTTGGATTCCCTAAAAGCTCTTAATAAAGGTTAAATGAATTTTGATGAAAACTCTCATGTGTGACGTAATGGTTGTAATCTTTTTAACGCTATTAACTGATTGTGTGGATTGTGACATTAACTGTGATATAATTATGTTATTGGATACACAGTTTTCTTCAAGACTAGTTTAAGATCCTCAAAGTCCTGCAGCAAAACACCTCTGAGTTGTGCGTCATTGATCCCTTTCTCTCAGTTAAGCATTATTAAGAAGCTAGGATAGGGATCAAACGATATTGCTTGGTGTTAAAGAAAAAAAAAAAAGGTTGGGATTAACAGTGGAAGATAAGGAATTGAGATTTTAAACTCGGGATAAATCTTTGAAGTGGCCGTTAACCCTCTTATGGAGGGTGGTTGGATACATGAAGTTACCATTGAAAAAGTGTAATAAGGACACTGATGCATTGGAATGCTTACGAAGGTTTTATTGCTTATGATAGGAAAACCTGAAGTTTGGAGAATCTCGTGGAAATTTGAGTCAAGATGGAGAATACTATATTGCCTCCATTCCTTCTTTAATAGTGACTATATTTAAGTGCAAATAGTGACTTATGTAAATGCCAAATATCTGAGTGGGTGAGTGAGTTATTGAGATCAATAGAATTTAGCTGAGGAGTTGTATAGCCAAGTAGAACAAAGAAATGAAGTAAGGGATGTCCCCATACCCAATGGAGTATCGTTTCCATTTCCTTGAAAATAAAAGGTTCGGGCATTGGCAATTTGGGACCCTCGATTTCTTCTTTCCTGATCTGTATCTGAGTGCAGCTTGATTCCTTATCACGTGAAGTTTTACCAACAAAGATGGCATGGAAGGTTGCAGTTTGCTTACGAATAACTAGACTGTAAGTAGTTGCAGCCCAGTAACAGTTATTGGGAGGACATGTGGATGAAAGATAACACCCTTGGTTTTCATCTTCCCTGAGCTGTAAATCTTGGTATGAGGCAAAGCTTTTTAGGTAGACAGCGCCGGTACAAACACCTTAGATTGTGAAGAGACTTTGATGAGGTTGAAATTTAGCTGACAACCTTCTATTGGGAAGGGATGAAGCATAATAGGGGATGCCATCTTATCCAATGGAGCATTATTTCCCACTCTTCGGAAGTATGAGGTTTGGGCATTGGGAAATTGGAAGTCAAGAATTTTTCTTCCATGAGCTGTATTTCAGTGCAGCTTGATTCCTTATCGCATGAAGTTTTATCCAACAAAGATGGCATGGAAGGTTGCGCTTTCTGATAATTCGACTACAATATATAGTTGTAGCCCAGTAGCAGTTTTTGGGAGGACATGTGGATGAAAGATAGCACCTTGGTTTTCATCTTTCCTAAGTTGTGTATCTTAGTAAGAACCTGGTATAGAAAGACAAACTTGGAGATAATTTTATTAATGATAAGTTATCTTTAATGGATGACAAACCCCCATCTGTATAGGGGAAGAGAAACCAAACCTAACAAACAAACTAACAGCCAAACATAAAGCCGGAAACTCCAATCAACTAAAATAATAATAATAATAATAATAATAATAAAAACCAAACACATCAGAAGTAAAGCTTTTTAGTAGAGGGTGTTGGCACAAACACTATACTTTGATAAGGACTTTGTTAAGGTTGAGATAGAGCTGACAAACCTTCTATAGTTTGCGGAACATATTAATATCAGGAACCTTTATCCATATGTTACTCTCTTGGAAAATTCATTTTGTTAAGTTTTTTCCTATTATACTCCTTAAAATTCAAGATCCTATGAAGGTTAAAGTTGTTTTCCCCATTGTACAACTTTCCTTGGAGGATTGAGAATTAATGATTGTGAAAACAAGAATACCACCTGAAGCTCCCTTTTTCAGATTGTTGTTTCCTTGGCAAGAATCAAATGAAGAAGCTGGCTACTTATTCTTCTTTTGCTAGGTTTCCAGTTCTTTAAGGTGGAGACTAATTAATATTTTTGGTTTAAGTTGCTCGATGCCCCCATCAGTGCAAGTCAGTTTGTCTTCTTTATTGTGTGGAACCCATTTTAAAAGGAAAACTGCAGTTTTATGGTCTAACATTATTGAAGTGATTTTGTGAGAGTTTTGGCTAGATAGAGAAATTGGAGAATATATTCTAAGATGTTCATTATTAGCTCTTAGACCTTTGATAAACCGTTTCTTTTGTTGCTTCTCTTGGTAGTCATCCAAAACACTTTTATAACTGTTCATCCTCCTACAATAAGCATCAAGGACCATTCCCTTTTGTAAAATTCATAGATCAATGAAATTTGTAGTTGTAAAAGAAAAGGGAAAAGGATTATCATTCATATTATATGTTAATCCTTAGATTAAGAATTAAATTGAAGTTGTGGTGGAATCCATGCAAAAGGTAAATAAAAAGTTGGAAGAATCACTTTCATTTCTCATTCTCATTTCTAATAGACATGGCTTATTGCCAGTGATCAATATGGTTTTGTTGAGAAAAATGAAACAGAATTAGATATTTTTGTGCTGGCAGATGATACTATTCTTATTTTGTGTGCATCAAAGATCTCTGATGCCTCTCACATGTATTTAATAATCTTTCATTTCTAATAGATTTCTGTTGCCCTTCATTTATCCCACGTGCTTGATTAATTTTTTTCCTCCTGAATACTCTTTCATAGCAACTTGTCTCAGAGAAAGACTTGATAGTAAGGGAAGAAGCTTGTCGGATTGGTTTGTTTTTTGGTGGTTTTACTGGGTCTTATCATGCCCTTAGATGCTTGCTTAGAAAGTGGAGAAAGAGGGAGACATCGTTAAATGTGTAAGTTTACAATCCATTAGAGCATCAATTTTCCCATTTTCATGACTTTATTGGTGTTTCATTTCCCCCTTTTTAATGCAAAAGATCGGGAATAAGCACATTCCATATTTATGACATTGTTTAAGGGATGATGAGCAGAATATTAGCAGGTTCAGTGGCTGGTCTGTCTGTTTTAGCATTGGATGACTCAAATCGGAGGCGTACTCTTGCTTTATATCTTATGGCTAGACTTGCTCAGGTACAAAAAGCATGAGTTTACTGTTGAGATGCAGTTTTTCTTTCTCCCGTTTCTTAATCTCCTTGTCTGTATCTGTGTTAACTTTCTTTCTTTTCATATTTCTCTTTTTAAAATTAGTGTACCTATAATTCTGCGAAATCCAAGAACAAGTTCCACCTTTGGGGGAGTCATTGGAGACATGGTGATTCTCTGCTTTTTGCCATGGCATGTGCACAGGTAGTTTAGAGCTATATGGATTCACTGCTTTTTGTCTTGGCTCAGGTTTGAAATAGATTTCAAGATCTCTTTGGTTCATAAATTTGGGAGTTTACTCGTTGATGGAAGAGTTTCTTGGACCTCCCTCCCCCTTTAATGAAAAATGGCTGGGATCAAAAGAATAGAGTAATCAGAAAGTATAATCAACAATAGTTTTCGTAAAACATGTTGTAACAAATCCATTAATTTCTTATCCTTAGTTAAATTAAATTGTAAATGTTGAATAATTTTATGGCCCTGAAAAGTTATTTATTTTTTTATTTTATTTGGCAGTTTCATCTTTTTCGTCAGAATTATGAGATTCTTTTTTTTTTTTATTAGAAGAACTATGGGATTCATCTCTGCCTTTATGATGTCAGCTGGCAGTACTAATCATTAATTTCTTTAATAGTATACCCTGTTTTATATTCATGATAAACTATTTGTTTCAGGTTATGTATGCCTTTGTAATGCGTCCTGAGAGCTTGCCACAATCATATCGGGACTTCATTCAAAAGACAGGGCCAGTTGCCGAACCTGTCTACAAGGCTGTACGAGATAGTTGTAGAGGCTATCCCATTGATGTTGCATCACTTTCTTCTTATTTGTCAGATAAAAAAATATCTGGCTATGAAAATCTAGGGGAATTTCCTTCAATTATTCCGTGTGATATAATCCATCCAGACACGAATTCGTGCATGGCTCACAATGGGAAGGCAGCATCAGCCACATTCAAGAAGACATTTCCTCTTTACTTCTCATTGACATTTGTACCATTTGTTGTTCTGCACCTACAGAAAGTAAGTTCTCCCTAAAATGCATTCTACTATTTTCCACAACCACGGTTGGCCCACCAAAATTATGTTCCTTGGTTAGAGCTGCCACTAGTTAGAATCGGTGGTTTTCTTTCGTTTTTTCATGAAAAAAAGGACTTTTCTTCAAGACTATGAAACGTACATGAGAAGGATGTACAAAAACCAAGGTGTTACAAAAAGTATCCGCAATTGGTCAAAAAATTGAAAATAAATACTTACACTAAGCGTCTTATTTTTTGATAGGTTTTTATTTTTAAATATATTTTGTTAGAAAGTTCACATGTTTTAGTGTATATATAGTCGTTACCCCCTTGTTTTTGTTGCTGAAATCGTTTTTCGATTTAGTTATTGTTGCTGATTACCATGATTCATGGTTTTGCAGTTCATGGATGCTCCCGGTCGCACCTGTTGGCTTGCTGTCAAAGGTGCAGTTCGGTCAACAAGTTTTTTGTCTGCCTTTGTTGGCATTTTTCAGGTCATTATTTTCCTGATCTTTCATGTTAATATCAGTTAAAATCTGTTAGATAATGTTCTGAAGTATTTGGGACGATGCTAGGCGGTCATTTGTTTGCATAGGAAAGTTGCAACCAAGGACCACAAACTCGTATATTGGGTTGCCGGTGGGATATCTGCCCTTTCAGTTCTTTTAGAGAAGAAGGGAAGACGATCTGAGCTAGCTCTCTATGTTCTTCCCCGTGCAGTAGATTCTTGGTGGTATATCTTGGTCAATCGCCACCTGCTTCCAAACATAAAAAATGCTGAGGTATTTTGATTACATCAAAATCAAATATGATTGTTGGAAATTAAAAGTTAATGCTTTGCAGTGGGGATCAGTTGTCCACACCTATCTAGGTCCTAATTTTTTTTTTGATTCTATCTTCAACAATTATACCATCCAGCATTATATTTCCTCGTATGTTATTGGCCTTGAATAACTAGCCATATCATGTTGTAAATGCACTCAATCGAAGGTATGTCGACCCTCGAGAGAGATTAGCAGTGTGTCTGCTTGGATCCAGTGACATGTTGAATAATTTTAAGCTTATAAGATATAATACTAGAGCTTATAAGATATAATACTAGATATAATCGAAGGTATGTCGACCCTCGAAGGAGTATATATTTGTGTTGGAAAAGATTAAGCTTATAAGATATAATACTAGAGCTTGGTAAACCTGATATCTGATGTTCTGTTGAATTCCCAAATAACATTTTCCTTCTGTTTGGTAATATGAACAGGTCTTCCTATTCTCAATTTGTATGGGAGGAATCATGTATTACTTAGAATATGAGCCAGATACCATGGCTCCATTCCTCCGAGGTCTGATTCGTCGCTTCCTCGCAAGCAGAATCAGCAATTCAGGCACATCTTCCAGTCGAGATGTTTCACACTCTTATTTAAACACACTCGACGCCATGAAGAAGCCAAATTTGGAGGATGGTAAGGAAGCCGAAGCTGCTGCACGGTCTGAGAAGTACAACCTTGAATCAATTCCAGGCTTATAGAACAGGAGTTCACGAAATGCAAGGTAATGGGATACATGCTTTAATTTTCTTCTTAAATAAAATTCCATTGAGTTGGTTGATTGAAAAATTAACTATTAGCCAACATTCGATTGTCCTCATCGTGACATTTAATTTTATGCTATCTTGGCATGCTTTCTACTAGTGCTGGGATGTTACAAGAACCATGTGATAAAAGGAAAGATTATGCAGGAAATTTAACAGATGGAGCCCTTTCCTTTAGTTTTTTTCTTTGGTTCGGCTCCATTTGTCTTTTCAGGGGATTTATTCTTGTTTTGTATGCTGTTGTATCCTTTAATTTTCTTCATGAAAGTAATAATAAGAACAATGATGAGCTTTTAGGCTTTAGTTTGATGGTGTAGATACATCTACCACAATTTTTCGATATGGATAATCTCTATGCTCGACGGCTACTCCGTTACTCCTCATGCCTACTCATGCATCTCAATAACTAAGCATGCCATCCATGTGTCAATTTCTTGGTTGATTTCCATGAATGTTCGAGATAGTTTGGATTTTTTATGACATTTAGGCTCGATTCTGTTTTATTATATACTCATATCATACTACTCCTTGGGAAAGCTCGAACCACCTTCAATAGAAGGGATTGAAGGGAATATGACACGAAGCTGACACGTGAATTGTTAGAGAATACCTATGGGCATGAGAAAACTGTTTCTAAGAAACTCAGACAAATTTGTCTTTATATTTCTCATTTGGTATCTTTGCTTCCCCTTTACCATAAAGAGAATAACGATTTGTTATATTATTGAACGCGTTAAGTTTCGAGTATAAATTAGTTTTAAAGGATTTTATTTCTAAAAAATAAACTATTCTCCGTTCCAATAAATTAACATTGATGTTAGTTTTGAGAAGATTAGTCAATCCTTCAACACCTCATAATCGGTCCAAACATTAAAAAAAAAAAAAAATTACCTCACCATCTTCGTTATCTTACATTAATGTTTGGAACCGTAACTAGACTCGCTTATCAAAATCCATATTGTCATTATCATTCAACTCCAAATTAACTATAGAGTACGAAAACAAGCGCAAGAATGTCTACATAGTCATAACTCAACTCTCAAGCATTACTCATTCATTTTAAGATTATAAGTTTATATCTCTACTCACACATTTATTCATTTTACCTTCTCTAAGTAAAAAATTAAACATAAATATTAAATGGAATCCCAAGAACAATGTAGCTATTCAAATGTATTTTTGAGGAATAAATGAAAAGTTTGAATTTTTTATTTAACTCCCAAGTCATAAATAAAAATAATAATGAAATTTCGTTCATCCCACTTCAAAGCAAAAATATCTCTCTTCCAAGCTTCGCGGCACTATATCCAGATGACAATTGCTATCCGAAATGAACCCATATATAAATATATATAGACAAGCCAAAGAAAACCCACAAATTCATAGCCAATTGCTGTTGCTATCTTCCCTTCCCAAGAATTGAACTGAACCCAGTGAGGCTTTCAGGTTACATTTTCTTCATCCCTCTATCTTTGAATCAATCGGCAAGTTTCTCGTCATGAAATAGTAATTTATTGCACAGTTATAGTAATTCCCATACTCTCCTCCGCGGTTTCCATTGCTATGGCATGTTCGGCGGTGCTTCCGTTGGCCTTCGCTTCATCTTCCAAGGTATGTAAGCCCACTTCTGCTTCTTCCATTGAACAGAGTGAAACCAATACAAATACGTCTCAGCAATTTCGCTATAGTAGAGCTTCTCCTTCTGTTAGATGGCCCAACCTCAAGTTAACCGAGAGTTTTCAGCCGCCGTCTCAAACGCAGTTCACGGTTTCTTCCCCTTCGCAGACCCATGGGGTCGATGAATCGGAGGTTTCTATTAGAACCCAAAATTCGGAGATTAGAGATGGGGATTTTGTAGAAGATGAGTTAGAATCTATGGTGATGGTGAGTGATGAAACTCAAGAGGTTTTAGGGAGGCCTAGCAAGACGAGAGTGAAAAAGATGACCAAATTAGCACTCAAAAGAGCGAAAGATTGGAGGGAGAGAGTGCAATTGTTGACTGATAGAATTTTAGCGTTGAAACAGGATGAATTTGTGGCTGATGTGTTGGATGATAGGAAGGTTCAAATGACACCCACTGACTTTTGCTTTGTAGTGAAATGGGTGGGGCGCTCGAATTGGCACAGGGCTTTGGAGGTGTATGAGTGGTTGAATTTGAGGCATTGGTATTCACCCAATGCTCGGATGTTGGCTACCATCTTAGCAGTGCTTGGAAAGGCCAATCAAGAAGCGTTGGCTGTAGAAATTTTTACCAGGTCTGAGTCTGCCATTGGCAATACTGTCCAAGTATACAATGCGATGATGGGCGTATATGCACGGAACGGTCGGTTTGTTCAGGTTCAAGAGTTGCTTGATTTAATGCGTACAAGAGGGTGTGAGCCTGACTTGGTGAGTTTCAACACTATGATAAATGCACGTATGAAGTCGGGACCGATGTCACCGAATTTATGCCTTCAATTTCTAAATGAGGTTAGGAAGTCAGGTGTTAGACCCGATATAATTACGTATAATACTTTAATTAGTGCTTGTTCCCGTGAATCAAATCTTGAAGAAGCAATGAAGGTATATAATGATATGGAGAGACATAATTGTCAACCTGATTTATGGACTTACAATGCTATGATATCAGTATATGGGAGATGTGGGCTGGCCAGCAGAGCTGAGCAGCTGTTTAAGGAATTAGCGTCCAAAGGGTTCTTTCCAGATGCAGTGACGTATAATTCGTTATTATATGCTTTTGCTCGAGAAGGGAATGAAGAGAAGGTAAAGGAGATTTGTGAAGAAATGGTAAGCAATGGATTTGGTAAAGACGAGATGACATATAATACAATGATCCACATGTATGGGAAGCAGGAACAGCATGACCTTGCGTTCCAGCTTTACAGGGATATGAAATTGTCTGGCCGAACTCCTGATGAAGTTACATACACTGTTCTTATCGATTCACTTGGAAAATCTAGTAAAATAGAAGAAGCTGCAAACGTAATGACTGAGATGTTGGATTCCGGAGTCAAACCCACTTTAAGGACATACAGTGCTTTAATATGTGGGTATGGAAAGGCCGGTAAACCAGTAGAAGCCGAGAAGACATTTGATTGTATGCTTAGGTCTGGGATTAGACCTGATTGTTTGGCATACTCGGTTATGATTGATCTCTTTCTTAGGTTCAATGAGACAAAGAAGGCAATGTTCTTATACAGGAAAATGGTGCGTGATGGTCTAACACCAGATGGTGCCCTCTATGAGGTTATGCTTCGAAACCTTAGGAAAGAAAATAAATTGGATGAGATCGACAAAGTAATAAGCGATATGCAAGAACGATGTGGTTTGAATCCTCAAGTCATTTCTTCGATTCTTGTAAAGGAAGAGTGCTATGATCATGCTGCTAAAATGTTGAGATTGGCCATTGACACTGGCTATGACCTGGACCATGAGACCTTATTATCTATTTTGAGTACATATAGTTTGTCTGGCAGGCACTTAGAAGCTTGTGAATTACTAGAATTTTTGAAAGAGAAGACTTCAAATTCGAATCAGCTGGTAACAGAATCGATGATAGTTGTACTTTGTAAAGCTAAGCAAATAGATGCTGCTCTAGTGGAATATGATAATACAACTAGAGGGTTTGGTTCATTTGGCACAAGTTCCATAGTGTATGAATGTTTGCTCCAAGGATGCCAGGAAAAGGAACTCTTTGATATAGCATCTCACATTTTTTCTGATATGATGTTCTATGGTGTCAAAATTTCGGAAAGCCTGTACCAAGTCATGATGCTTATGCACTGTAAAACAGGCTATCCTGAAATAGCCCATTATTTGCTGGAACGTGCAGAGCTCGAAGGGGTTATAGTAGATGATGTCTCTACATATGTTAACATTATTGAAGCATATGGGGAACTAAAACTATGGCAGAAAGCTGAAAGCTTGGTTGGAAAACTGAAGCTAAAACTAGCTACAATTGATAGAAAGATTTGGAATGCATTAATACAAGCTTATGCCAAAAGTGGTTGCTACGAACGAGCAAGGGCTGTTTTTAACACCATGATGTGCAATGGTCCTTCTCCTTCAGTGAATTCCATTAATGGTTTATTGCAAGCATTAATTGTTGATAATCGATTGAAGGAGCTTTATGTTGTTGTCCAGGAGTTGCAAGATATGGGCTTCAAGATAAGCAAAAGTTCTATTCTTTTGATGCTTGATGCATTTGCTCGAGATGGAAACATATTTGAGGTGAAGAAAATTTATCATGGAATGAAAGCTGCTGGTTATCTTCCAACAATGCATCTTTACAGGAGTATGATTGCATTGTTATGCAAGGGAAAACGAGTTCGGGATGTTGAGGCCATGCTATTAGAAATGGAGGAGGCGGGATTTAAACCTGATCTATCCATATTGAATTCCGTAATCAAGTTGTATGTAGGAGTTGAAGATTTCAGAAATGCTTCTAGAATGTACCAGCTAATACAAGAAACTGGACTGACACCTGATGAGGATACTTATAATTCCTTAATTATAATGTATTGTAGAGATTGTAGACCAGAAGAGGGGTTGTCACTGATGCATGAAATGAAAAGGCGAGGTATGGAGCCTGTGTTGGACACCTATAAAAGTTTGATTTCAGCCCTTTCTAAAAGGCAGCTAGTTGAAGAAGCAGAGGAGCTTTTTGAAGAGTTGAGATCAAATGGATGTAAATTAGATCGTTTTTTTTATCATGTAATGATGAAGATGTTTAGAAATACAGGAAATCATTTGAAAGCCGAGCGCTTACTTGTCATGATGAAAGAGTCGGGGATAGAACCCACTGTTGCCACGATGCACTTGTTAATGGTTTCCTATGGCAGTTCTGGCCACCCGAAGGAAGCCGAACAGGTTCTCAATGATCTGAAAGCAACTGGTATGAACCTTGATACATTACCATATAGTTCAGTAATTGATGCATATCTTAGAAAGGGGGATTACAACGGTGGAATTGAGAAACTGATGGAAATGAAGGCAGATGGTATAGAGCCAGACTATAGAATATGGACGTGCTTTATTCGAGCTGCAAGTTTGTCTGAAGGTACCGGTGAAGCCATTATCATTTTAAATGCGTTGCGAGATACAGGATTCGATCTTCCGATCAGGTGCCCACGAATTTTCCTAATGTTAAAGCAAGACAATGTTTCATTCCTCTTTTAAAATGATGCTGTCGAGTAATTTTGATAACTAGCCATTTTAAGATAAAGATTCTCTCACAGGCTTTTAACAGAAAAATCACAATCACTGGTTCTGGAGGTTGATCAATGTCTAGAGAAACTTGGAGCCATGGAAGAT